CACCATTGCTATTTACTATTTGTGTCATCATTTCTTCTTTTGTCTTTGCATCAGATGGTTTGAGTTATCCAGTGCAATTAAAGCACATACTATCAAACATACATAAAGAACATTTCCTGGATTCTCTTCTCCTTCCATCAAAAGAGCAGATTATCCGTAAATGATTCTATTTCTCTAAAACCAAATTTTGAATTAGTTCTGTGTGAAATATTTTTGAGGAAGAGATTGCTAGAGGACAGACTGAAACATGAAACTTTCAATTGTGTCACAACAGGAAAGAAAAAACAAAAAAATGCTGAGGACAGGCTTCAGGGCAGAGGACATGCTCAACTTATTCAGTGAGCAAATTAAGATCTTTGGATTCAGATTTTGTAGAGCAAGACTTTTTCTAGTTTGGACAGAGGTCTAGGTAAAATCTGTACTGTGGTATCAGTATGGACATAGGCCATATACCCTTTGCAAAAGGGAAAACAGAAAAGGGAAATAGAATTTTATGACTGCTAGAAGTCTTCTAATACAGCTTGGTCAACAGTGGCCAAATGTATCACATGGTACATAATTTTCACAAAACTTTACAAGCTCCAAGCCAGCTGACAACTAAACTTTCTATTTTGTGTTAATATAGTTAAATGTTGTCTGTCTGTCTGTCTGTCTGTCTGTCTGTCTGTCTGGCTATCTATCTATCTATCTATCTATCTATCTATCTATCCATCCATCCATCCATCCATCCATCCATTATTTAATATATTTATTAATGTCAATTGACTGTATCTGGAAAGTTATCGAGTTGCTAAAAGAAACACTCACATGAAAGACTCACTACCAATTGTGCCAGAGGTGGTATTCAGTAGGTTCTGACCAGTTCTGGAGAATCAGTAGCAGAAATTTTGAGTAGTTCGGAGAACCAGCAAATACTACCTCTGACTGGCCCTGCCCCCATCTATTCTCTTCTTCCTGAGTCCCAGCTGATCGGCTGGGTGTTCTTTTGTTGGCCTGCACAGGAGAACAGAGCTGGAAAGCAGGTTAGTGCGATGGGGAGGGAATGTGATTTCACAGTAACCTTCCCCTAGAATGGGATGGTAATGGAGATTTTACAGTATCCTTCCCCTGCCACACCCACCAGCCATGCCCACCAAGCCACGCCATGCCTACCAAGCCACACCCACAGAAATGGTAGTAAATTTTTTTGAATCCCACCACTGAAGTGTACTGTTATGTGCCAATAATTTGTTTATAGGATAAAACTAAATTGAATATAGGGGTGATCAAACTACATTCCTATGGTTGCCAGCCAGGCAACTCCCACTCTTGCGGTGAGCTCATCTCAGCTTTAAAGAAAACATCCGAAATTCATTACACTAGTAAAACCGAATATATGTAGATCAAGGTTGAATTGTGGAATCCTTGGTGCTCTCAGAGCCTGGTTATTTGATTGCAGTCATTTCATTACCTAACTAGGTGACATCATCAATGTACAACTAAGCTCAGAGAACAACAAAGACTCCACAAAAATTAAGGAAGAAATAAAACGTCATTAAGTCAAGCATTCAGGTGCACTCTACTATTACATGGAATCCAAGAGCAATGTAACCCAGTAAAATCTACTGTAAGCTGAACATGTGAAAAAGAAATAGACCCGATTTAACTTATTCATAATATACACAATTTTTTAAAAAAGTAAATAATGGTCAGCATTATAGCAAAATCAACACAAACTGTTAAAAGGATAACACTGCCATACATTTGTTATGTATGTGTTTTAAACTTCTATCTGGCTTCAGACACTTCATCTTCCCTGAAGACTCTTTGAAAAATGGCCTTGATGCTTTCCCTGGACTGAGTTTGTTTTTTTCTCCCAACCAGAAAATAGATCACTTGGTTAATGCTGCTGTTTAAGCAAGCACTCAGTACAAAATATTGGTCCAACAGAGGAAATTGTGAAAAATAATTCTTGTCAAGAACATTAATAATGAAGAGGTAGATATCTAAGGGAACAGTTAAAATAAGAAAACAGAGAAGAGTAATTAAGATCATTACTAAAAGTCTTCCCCGTTTTTTCTGCTTAGGTTTAAGAACTATTTTGACTAAAAGAATCACAGTAGAGGTTGTGATCAATGGAATACAGATCTCAGTAGTCATCAGCAAATGTGGGTACAAGTTGGCATTAGATTCCAATACATATTCCACAATGTTTGGAATTCCACCCAGGAGGAAAGAGCAGATCCAGATAAAAGCACAGACAGCAGAGGACAAATGTTTTGGCCGGGAACAGCGATGCCAGATTGGGAAGAGGACAGCCACACACCGGTCAATGCTGATGGCTACCAGAAGTAACAGACCATTGATATACATAATGTCAGAAATAGAAATGAAGAGCACACAGGGAATTCCTGATGGTATAAAATCTGCAAAATAATTAATGCAGTTTATAGCCATAAACAGAAGAAAACTAAAGTCGGCAATAGCTAAATTCAGAATCAACACAGTGAAAGGGTTTCTCTTAATCTGGTAGCCAAGTAGCCAGATCACAATTCCATTTAATGGGACTCCAATACAGCAGATGATTAATATGATTAAGAACACTATTGTTTTAGAATAGATAGACATATTTTGGTACTTGTTGAAATAATTGTTGGTTCTATATACAAAATTGGTAATATTATCGTTAAAACACATTTCTATAGAATCCATATTTGCCAGGCTGAAATTCATTAAGAGACTTCTGTAATGCTTCAAAATCTCTTGTTTCAGAATGGAAGTTCCTATAGAAAGAAAAGAAAGAACAATATGTTTGTTAATTCTTCAATAATTATCATCACTATCTTGTCTCTGTGGAAAGATTGAGACAACTTTTTGATCATCATCATCATCCTCTGCCTACCCCAGCTCCATGGTAAGGACTTGATACGTAGGCAAAAATGCCAAACCCAGTCTGTGTCAGGTTTCCAAGTGATGAAATCCATTTAAAAAGAAAAGAACAAAGTCCATCTTCCAAGACAAATTCTTTTATTTAGGAAAGCATCAAATTGGCAAAGTCCGTGGTAATTCCAGATCTGACACAACCTGGAGTTATCCCACAATATTAAAAGTTAGAAACAATCCCCAAAAGTCACATTCTCTAATGCAAGTAATTCAACATTGCTTGATGTCATAAATCCCCACCTCAAGGGACATAAGCATGGACACCTCGTTTCCCACGGGAAGAAGAATCACCTAGCCAAAACAACTCTCTTTATCTCCACTTCTCCCCCCTAGGAATGTGGAGAGCCCGAAATCTTTCCCCCCATTACTGCCACAGAGAAAATAAGAAAAAGAATATATACTAAGCCTAACTAAAATGGCTACATGTATGCCAATTTCGGGCTTGACAGTCTGAACTTCTGGCTGATTGTGCAAGGATCAACACCATAATAATAATAAATGCAGAAAGCAGCTTTTCTTGGAACAATTTAATCCTGCAGTGATACCTTTAACACTGTCAAACAATAACATCTCCTTATGAGCCATGTTAGAGTTAGAGTGCAGTACTTGAAGGCTACTTCTGCTGACTGCCAGCTGCCTGCAATTTGGAAGTTCAAATCTTACCAGGCTCAAGGTTGACTCAGTCTTCAATCCTTCCAATGTGGGTAAAATGAAAATCCAAATTGTTGAGGGCAATATTTTGACTGTAAGCTGCTTAGAGAGAGCCGTAAAGCACTGTAAAGCGGTATATAAATCTAAGTGCTATTGCTATTGCTATCTCAGGTTCTTAGGAAGAGCTGCATCGGTGGACAAAAATGCCCAACCCAATCTAAACATTTGGCCATGTGACCAATTATAATGTATTAATGTATGGCTGCCAATGATTCTGGATAAGTCACCACAATGAAACATCAAACTAATTTTCATGAAAACAATTAAAAATATCTCCTACTAGGTGGTAGATGCTTCCACTATCCACAAAAAGTGGTTAGGGTTAATTTCACTGTTTAGCTTTCAGAACATGCTTTGTTCAAAACATCTTTGTAATAAAGCACTCCTTTGAATCTCTGCACATTTTTCTTCTCAGTCTCTAGCACTAACTGAGGCAGTCTGACTCTAGAGATCTATTCATTGAACCCTTGCCAATATTCTTGTCCCATATAAAATAAAATAAAAAGTGACAGAATCAGTAGAGCAAATACATCCACTTAGCTTGATGGGCATTTGTTACTAATTGAAGTTCTTTCTGCCTAAATCTGTGGAGGTCCTTTTTCTTTGTAGGTCATAAGGAGAGATTATCTCCAAAACATTTGTCTCAATTCATTCACGTAAAGAGAATGTTTAAATCCCAGGAAACAGTGCTTGAGTTTAAAACTGTCTTATTTCAATTGCATCTTATATTTAATTATAAGTAAAGGTAAGAATGCAATGTTTATTGTCTAAATTGCCCTATAACCACTAACCCTATTCCATGTATTAGGTTTCCAAGAATTATCAATTCTCTCTCTCACATTTCCACCATTCTCATAATACCAGGTCCATGAGGAAATGAGAACTCCCTAACGCTGACCAATAAAACTGTATCCCCCCAAAATATAATCTCCCCAGACCTCATCACTAGTTGCTGATCCAACCTCCAAAACTCTCTGTGGTGTAAATATAATAAAATGTAAAATCATAAAAATCATTGTTTCTTTTATTTTTCTTTTATTTTTCTTATATGTACTCATTTCATGTATTCATAATTATGTATACACTTTTACTTATCTCGTAAACAATTGACAAATAAATAAAATAAAATAAAATAAAATAAAATAAATAAATAATAGAAGCAAACAATCAAACAAAAAGATATGTGGTACTAGTATGATTACAGATTTATATTTTTGTTATGTTTTTACTTTTGTTATGTATTTGGTACAAGATAGCTTGGGGACTTGTGAGCAATTGATATGAGAAACAACTTTGTGGTGAATGCTGGATTGTAAAATTATGTATCAAGCTGCTATCTTGCCATCATACCATTGTTACATCTAATATTGTCTTGTGATACATGATCAATTGTTCCCCAATATTGTTATTGTGCTAGGTTTGTGTCATGGTGCTTTGAGCATGAGTAAAGGGAAGAAAGTTCTAAAACATGCATCCAGAGATGCTGTCATGCCCCTGGTGGAGACTGACTCTGAGGAAGAGGAGGAATAGCCAACAGGGAGTGGAAGTATGGCTCCAGAGGTGGTGGAGGAGGCTGGGGAAGGGCAGAGGTCAGCTGAGCAGTCAGAGGAGGATCCAGGCCCATCCCCTCTCCATCCTAGGGCACGCAGGGAGGAGAGGATCATGGAAAAGTGAGGTCTACTCAAGAGGAGATTACCATGATCCTCCTCGTGGCTTGCAGCTGGGAGCTAAACATAATCATTTGGTTTCTTTCCACTATATATGCTTTTCCAAGAATCTTGTAGATTTAAAAGGTTAATGCCACCAAGCAGCTAAATTTACTACTCCACAGACATTTTATGTGTTATGCTTATTTTAATTTCTGGAATATACCACAACTTCTTCATTAATTACTCTCTCATTACACTTCAGAGAAAATAATTTCTGGCCATATGACCTAAACTCCTCCAGTTTTGGGATTTCATTTTCCACTTTTTTTTGACTTGTTAGGTGAAGGCTGGAATTCAGAAACTTGTATTGTTTGAAGATTAGAAGTTCTCCAGATGTATTGGGTTTACTGTATCTAAAGCACTGAATCTCGCTTATACATCTGATTTGGTTGTGACTGAGGTTTCAATATTCTTTCCATGGCTTTCCTCTTCCTTAAAAACTTTCACAAATATTACCTTGATTTTCATTCTAGATGTTCAGCTTTTGTCTCTTCCTACCAGAAAATAGATGAGAGGGTTAATGGTGCTATTTAAGGAAGAACCAATATAGGCATATTCATAGACATAAGGATTATCACACTGGGGGTAATACAGTGAGAGATACTGAATAGCATTCATTGGAAAACCAAAAAAGAGAAAAAAGAGAAGAGTGAGCAACATGGTGAGCCAAAGGTTTCCTTGCTTATGATGAAGAGATAGTGAACAGGCTTTCAATGAAAGGGCTAATGTGGAGATAGTCATTACAGGAATGAGAATTAAGGCATTCAGGAGAAATTGGTAGAACCTTAGCAGATAATATCCGTTTTTCAACAAGAGAATGACATGTAGAGAAGAAAATAGGAAGTTGAACACCCTTATTATGTTACATACAATGGTGGACATTTTCCGGCAACAGTGGATTTGATACCAAAGTGGGAAAAATACTGCTGTTCACCTGTCATTTCTGACGGTGGTCAAGATACATAAACCAGTACTGTATGTGAACAAGACCCCGAAAAAATGTCTTTAGTGGATCGCCATATTTTATATGATATGTCTATAAGCCAATATAGATCAATAGCACTGAGACCTATGAGCACACCAAAGTCAGCAATGGAGAGATTCAGGAAGTAAGTCGAGAAGTTATTCCTCTTAATCTGGACCCCAAGGAGCGAGATGGTGCCTCCATTTCCCACGAGTCCCCAAAGGCAGATAAGTAGAGTTATGGTGATCATCAAAAACACTCCTATAGGAATCTTGATCTTCTGGAAGACTGGTTCTGTTATAGAAGCCCTCAGTTCCATTGTGTGATAAATTATATTCTATTCTAGCATTCAGAAAGGACAGCACTGAAATTCAGCATGATGGCTGGTTATCAATTTGGTGTTCTGATAATATAGAAACTCCTGCTTGGGGAAAAGGTACAGGATATAATACATTTTTTTCCTGATATGGAGCTAAAGAATTATTTCAATCTGGCCTCACATGGATTAAAGAATAAGTAAAAGAAACATTAAATCAGAATTGGAAAAAAAATCAATGTATTGATGACACTTTAATCTGCATTCATCCAAAGTCTCATTTTTTACAGGAGTCCCTTTTGTAACATTAGTGAGAAGAAGAGTTGAAATAAAGGCTGAATTGAATTCATCTGAACCTGAAAATGAAGTTGAGGAGCAGCCATAGACTTCAAAGGCTATATTAGGTATTATAGAAATACATGTACTTCTCAAATATCTCTCCAAACTTTCTCTCTGCCATAAAAGCCCAAACTGCAGTATCATGCAATGATTAAGTATGAATTTATTCCAAGTACTGCTTTCAGTTGTTTTCGTTCAATTTTGCACACCGTACAAAATTAATCTGCAGCTTTACAAATATAAAATTAGCACTTCATATGCATTTGTTGTATCTATCTAAACTAATTTTTATCACCATCATGTGTATGTGCTTCCTAACAAGTGAATTCTGTAATCTGGATGAGGGTTGCAGGTGATAATCTCCATGTTTCATACCCAAACTTTTCATGTACTCAGGGGTGAGCTTCAGCCAGTTTGTGCTGGTTCGGGGAAATCGGATGTTAATTTTATATCCGGTTCAGAAAACTGGCAGTTCCAATGACCGGCTGCTCTGCCCCCCCCCCCGCCATTTTGGATCCCAGGTAAGTGCAGGGGGCACATGGAGCCTGGGGAGGTGGGAAAACAGGTCTCCCAGAGGCCCATGGAGGATGAAAATGGCCTATTTCTGGCCTCCAGAGAGCCTCCGGAGCCTGGGGAGGTGGAAAACAGGCCTTCCACAGCCCATTTTCACTCCCAGGATGGTGCAGGAGGCTGACTAGACTACGCCTACCATAGTCATGCCCATCCAGCA